CCGCTGCCCCCGCCGACGCTGCGCCGTTGGCCGCGCCGCCGGGCGCGCCCGCCGGCGGCGGCGGCTGCGCGCCCGCGATGGGGAAGAGCGGCGCGCCGGGTCCCGGCGGCGCGCCGTGGGGGCCGCCGATAGGGAACAGGGGGCCGCCGGGGCCGCCTCGGGGCGGCATGCCACCCATCAGGGGCGGCGGCGGCGGGCCCCCATAGGGGGGCATGCCGTACGGCCGCGGCGGGCCGTACCTGCCATTGGAATGGGGAGCATCAGGGGTTGAGCACACGTGACTGGGAAAAGAGTGACCTCGTAAGCGGAACAAAACAGGACGCCGGGGAGCGGGTAAGGTCTGACCAAACCCGCACTGACGTGCATTGTCGGCTGAATTCAGCAGCCGCCTGTTGCGCTGTGCATTCCCTTCCTTGTGCTGCATGGGCACCGCGCCCCCAAAACAGCGGATGCATTCCCACAACAGCTGGCCGCCACCCCAGTGCATCCCCACAGCAGCTCCTGGGCTGCGTCCAGAGCCGCCAGCTCACCCTGGGTACGGCGACGGCGGCGCCCCGGGCATCCCCGGGTACGGCGGCCGCGGCATCCCCTGCGGGGGCATGCCCATCCCCATGCCCATGGGCGGCATCCCCGGCGGCCTCATGCCCGGGGGCGCGCCGTAGCCCATGGGCGGCGGCGCCGCCGCCGCGCCGTAGGCGCCCGCCATGGGGGCCGCCGGGGCCGCGGCGACGGCGCCGAGGCCCGCGGCTGGGGGCTCGTCGGTGCGGGGCTTCTTGCTCTCCGGCTCCTCACCATCTGAGTCAACAAACAAAGGGAACAATACGAAACCGGATCAGACACAATTCCAATCTCTCCGGCTGCTAGATAGAGTTAGGGAAGCTGCACGCGGCCGATCACTCCGCGAGCGGAGGCAGCCCCGCACCCCCCTCGCTCTGTGCGGGACGCACGCTCGTCAAGCCCAGGCGGCCCCCGCCCACCGTTTTCGCCGAAGGGCTTGCCGGGCTCGGCGCCGTCTGGCACGCCATTCATGCCGAAGATTTCCCGGTCCATGCTTTCCCGCCCTGGCTTGGCGCCAGGCACCCTAAGGAGAGGGGAGCGGCGCGGCGCAAGCAGTCGCCCTTCCGCAATTAGGAATAAGGGTAAACAACCGCTGTCACGCCTGCTGCAGCGCGGATATCATTACGCATGAGGGGTGGCCATTGCAAGCGCGCGCCCGCGTGCTCTTCACAACTGGCTGCCGGCACGTGCGGCTGCGCAGTCGCGATTGGAGTGGGAGGGCGTCCTGGCGGGCTCTGGTGGCTCACGCGTTGATGGTGAGCTTGTGGACCTGGTAGGCGTGCACCGACAGCCCCCGCGATGTGTTGAGCTTCCGGTGGCAGTCCGGGCACTGCGGGGCCGGGGGCGCGCGTGGGCGGGGCTCGGCCGCTGGGGGCTGCTGCCGCTGGTTGTGCGCCCCAAGTTGACAAGCCGCGAGTGCCGGGCGCCTGGCAGCGAGTGCCTCGCGGCTGGCGCGTAGATGGAGGGTTCCGTGCGTTTTCTTCGCGGTTGTGCGCCCCTTGGGGTCTATGATGGCACATGTGACCCCGCTGGTGTTGTCCGCAGCCGCTCCCCCCTCCCTTGCTTACTTTGTAATGTTTCGCCTTCTGGTGCTGCACCAGCGTGCTCTCGTCGTTGAACGTGCGGTCGCAGTAGAAGCAGAATATCACTTCCTTATCCTTCTTCTTCTGCGGGGTTGAAATGGGCCCGGCATGACACGTCGTCGTTCAACCTGGGGGCACGCTTGCGACACAGCAGGCGGCTGGCCCCACAGCTGCACAGCACGCTTCGCCTGCTCGTATGCGTTCCAGCTGCGTGCTTCCCCCCCACCTTCTTTCCCATTGTGGCGTAGCAAGAGTTACAGGACCAGCAGCGCGGCACCTCTTGCCTACGTGCAGCAAGGGAGCGGCGGCGTGCAACGGGTCGCTGTGCGCTCGACGTCTTGGCGCTGACCAACAAAGTGCATGGCAGGATCAAACCATCGCCTATTCCACCACATCTATGGTCTAATCATTTCGAGTTGAAGCGTCCCGCCTCACAGGACACGGCGGGCTAGTGAACTGATCTCGGCCGACCACACACCCCCTGGCGCCATGTGCTGACCTTGGAAGGAACAAAAGTCACGCGTCTATTCAAAGTTGATTCAAGCTTAAGTAATCAAGGCGGTCGTCGCCACCCAAGGTGTATGAAAAGGCTGAAGACGGTGATGCTGCACGAGACTGCGCTAGTACAAGTGTTCTTTGTTCTTTGCGCCATGCAAGGATGCTGGGTTGAAGGCCAAGACACGCCGTGGTTGGGTGCAGCAGGGGCACCTGAGGGAGGCCTTCCTGTGGGCAACCCTCAGCCGCCCACAGCACTTCCACCTTGCATCAGCTCACCCCCTTCGCCGGCCGATGGCGGCGGGAGATAATGTGTGCATGTGTGGGTGGGTCCGGTGTTTTATGTGTGAGTGGGCATGACCTTATGTCGTGCGAGACCTTCCAATGGCTTGTCCTGTTGCCAGAGAGTCTGAGCTCCCCGAGGACGTGTTGCTGTGTGACGGCCGCTGTCTTGCCAGGAGGAAGGACCGATGTTGACAGGCTGGCACCCCCCCCCCATAATCGGCCCCTGGCCCCAACAATTAAGGCTCATGGATGTCTACAAGATCTCAAGATGGGTACAAACATACGCCGTCTTGTGAGATGGGGCACGCGCCAGCCAGCCTGCTGCTCGTCATTCAATGACGGCCAAGGCGTCAGAAAGCAAGAAGCCTACGCGGTTCAGCATCCCCACCCCTTATGCAGCTGCGTCTGCATAAGCACATTGTGCCATTTTAGGGCAGCACATGTTTTTATTTTGCTGAGATCAGCAGTGTCTGCACTGCCAAGCTGGCTGCCTGCCCTTGCATAGTGCAACGTCGTCGCCCTGGCCCAAGCCCAGCCTCGCGTTGCCGTCAAACCTGCTCAGAGCACCCTCTCAGCGCTTCTGCCTCCCTCCAATTCTCCTCTTGCGGCCTCCCGGCGCCTGCGCCCAATCGCAATTCCTCTTGCCCGCCAGTTTGCTGAACTGGGATCAATAACATTGATCACGATCCCTGTCAAGTCCCCTTGTAACTGCACAGAAGCGTGCCAATGCACCCTAAAAGAAATCCTCATAATCGAGCAAGCAGGGCGGCGGCCACACCCTCTCCTCGCGAGCCTCCACATGAAGGCCGCACACAGCGGCCCCGCGCCGCGCGGACGCCCTCAGTGCGGAACTCAGCGCCTCGGCCGACAGGAACTTGTCAAAGCTGCACCCGTACACCTCGATCTCTCGCAGCTGGGGCGCCGCCGCAATGCAGAGCAAGTTGTCGAGGCTTACGTCCTTGACGCCGTCAAGGCGCAAGTGCTGTAAGGAGCCGCATGCCGCGAGATCGCCCAGCCTGCCAGTAAAGGTGATGTCGCTGCCATATGTGCCATCAGACATGATTGAGAGGCGCTCAAGGGTGGAGAGCGATGCCAGGGTGGGGCAGGGCACGATCGCAACCCATTCGTCCCACGTGCTGCCAATTCGCAGGTCGCGAAGGGCAGGGAACATGTCTCTCACTGGCTTGCATGGCATCATCCAAATAGCATCCGTAACATGCAGCGTGGTAAGACGCGGGAACGGCTTGGTGGGAGTTGGCGTGGGAACCTCGGCCAGCGCGAGGTCTTCCAGAAACTCGGCGTGATCGCCGAGCTCGGCCAAAGAGCAGTGCAAGGCAGGGTGTAGCATGGTGCTTGTGTGGTCAAGCCTCATGTAGAAGGCCAGCCGCCGCAGGCTTTTGGGAAGTGACGACAGCAGGCTTTGGGTGTTGAAGCCTTCAAAGTGGGGCGCGTCGTCGTCCGAGTTTTGCACAGCCACGCCACTCAGCTCCGTGAGGCAAGTAAGCTGTGGAGAGGCGCGGATGGGCGAGGCGTTGGGTCGCTGTGGCGTTTGCAGGGTGCAGACCCTGCACGAGCAGCGCAAGGAAACCTGCCTAACCCTGCCAATCAAGCAATGGCCGCGTAGCCCACACCCCGATGGGCCTGATGTCCCACCTGCGCAAGCACAGAGTAGAACTTCTGCAGGCCGTCGCCATTCTCCTGGACATTTAACCCTTCTCCAGGGTCCATGCTCAGGCCCCGTCCACACAGCCCAATCAGCTGCAGCGCCTCCAGGCGGGTGCACGCGACGACGCTGTCCAGCCATGACGTCTCGCACATGCCTGCGCCCTCGTCCGGGGGCGTGTACAGCCGCAGCCGGCGCAGGCTCGACGGCAGCCACGCCTCGCCCGCTTCGTGGAAGAGGCCCGTCAACCGGAGGGAGGTGAGGCACGTCGCCGCGCCCAGTGGCGAGAGCAGGAGGGGTCCCAGAGAGGGGTCGCTGCTGAGGTCCAGCGTCCCGAGCTTCGCCAGCTGGCCGGTGGCCACGCGGGCGGTCAGCGTGGTGGCAAAGTCGCGTCTGATGTCCCAGGCCTGCACAGCATCAAGTTCGGGGCAGTGCCTGCGAGCAGCACGATTAGGGCGGTGGACTGTGAGGGGAGGTCGTCGTGAGTACGCACACCACGTGAACGTGAGCTCGAGCGCGGGTCGCAGCTGAGCCGTCCACCCAATGCGCGACCTCCAAACTGCCCGGCGCACCTGGCCGCCGCATCCAGTAGATCCAGCAGCGCACGCACGGACTCAGCGCCGGCGCCCCGCACGCGCAGCACCCTCACGCCGCGCCACTGCTCGCAGCGCGCTGCAACGTGGCGCATCGCGTCGGCGCCCTCGCGGCCCTCGGGGAACGCCAGCTCAGCAGCCGACGCGTTGACCAGCCGGCGCAGGCCGGAGCTGGAGGCCCGAAGCGCGCGGCGGGTGGCGCCGTCTTTGACGTGCGCCACAATGTGCCGCAAAACGTCCAGGGCGAGCGGCGGGTGCAGCGCTGCGCCGCCGGGTGCGGGGCGCTGCTGTGGCTGCATGCTGCCGGCGCTGCTGTCGGTCTGCATGGATCCTGCTTGCGAGCCAACGTATTTCCGCAAGGCTGATCGAGGAGGCGCAGGGCAGCTTCTGTGTGCTCAAAGTTCACCCACTGCAGATTATTACTGCGCTCGGGTTCACCTGCGCTGGCGCGCACCAGCAGAGCAAGGTTGGGTGGCGGCTTTGCGGCTTAGCTTCATCCATTGTGTGCTCAGACGCAGGAGCCGTCGGCAATGTCAAGTCGCTACTGAGGCTGTATGCAGCATAGTGTTGCTGCTCTCAGCAGCTTCCGCGGGTGTGTGCGTCGCGCCCCGCGCTGTGGACCATTGAGGTGAGCTGGTATGCGGGCGCTGGCGCGCGCAGGGCAGGCGCAATCATAACTAGCGTCACATTTCATGCCTACCTGTGCATGCGGCCGGCAACGTCTTGGTTATGAAAGAAACGGGGAGCTATCAAGCTCGAGTACCTGACGCGATCTCGCGTGCTGCGGTCGGGCGCATACTCACTCAAAGTTTGTGTTCGTACATCTGGGACCTCTTGTGCCCAGCGGTAGCCAGCATTGCGGCCGGGGTTGGCGACGTCGGCACCCGTGGCTGCACACTCACCAAGGTCGCAAAAAATGCAATCGACGCAAAAAAAACCCACATGCTTGGTCCCCGCGGCAGAGGCGGGCAGTGAGTCCAAGGCGCTTGTTGATCATGGCAGCCAAGACAGCGAAATGGGGATTTTGTGCTCAGCTGCAGACCGCGATTTGCTGGGATGCACCGCGCTCTACATGGCCGTGCATATTGCCTTGCATTTCTCTGCGCTCAACGGCATTGCCTTGGGAATGCTGCATGCTGTTGACAAAAGGGATGCAGGATTGGGCACCAAGCAGTTCCCGCTCGCTGCCGCTGTCGTGAAGCGCCCACCATGCTTGATTCCAGGGCCACGGCGTGCAGAAACTTCCATACACATTTGAGGATGCAACACGTGTCTGAAAGGTGACAACGATGCAGCGTGGCTGCTCTGCGGTCTTGTTGCATCAGCAGGGTCACAGTCACGGTGCAGAAAACGAAATACGGTATGAAGCAGCCTGGGCAAGAGTTGACCACTGCGGACCAGACGGCGGCTGTCAAGGCAGCTGAGCTTCCTTGAGGTGTTGCGCCATGCAGTGCACCAGCACCCGGCTGAAGAGCATTCAAAGCCGTGCATGGAGAGTGGCGGAGCTTCCAGAAGGCCAGCGTCATGCGCCCGCTGCTTCGCTGATCGCCTAGCCGCAAGCGGACCTTCCTGCCCCTCCACTCGTTGTTCAGCACTTTCACACATCCGATTGCGCGTTTGCGACTAGCTTGCCACCATGCAGCTGCGCGGTGCCCGTCTCCAGGCCTCTTCGGCGCGCGGCATGCGCGCCGTGGCCCCAGTCCGGCCTGTGCGTGCTGGCCGCAGGTCCGTGGTGGTGCAGGCAAACCTTTTTTCTCGGATTACTCGCGTAGTGAAGAGCTATGCGGAGCAGATCGGTGAGTAGCTGTACTCGACGCTCTCTCGTGTGCTGTTGCTCCTATCATGCATGCCCACAAGCCACTCCGAGACTTTGGAGGCAACCTGCCTTTGCCGTCCTGAACGTGCAGCAATTGCTCACGGCGTGCGCGTCGGAGGGACACTGGTGCGATATGTGTGCTGCATTGCAAGCGCTGCATGGCGCTCTCCAATGCGCCGGCCCTCCCTTTGCCTGTCTCCATTCCCTTCCATGCACAGTTTCATCTGCTGAGGATCCTGAGAAGGTGAGTTTTTGCAGTGTCCACAAATCCCGAGGGCGCCGATGTTCAAGAGCGGTTGTCATTGGCTCAGATGCCCACACAGCCACAGGGTGGGGCCAGTAGAAATCCCATGCGCGAGCATCACTTCGATTGCTCTTGCTTGCCCGGCTGCCGCACACCATCTATCACTTTCAGGTTCTGGACCAGGTGGTGAATGAGATGCAGGAGGACCTCATCAAGATGAGGCAGGCGGCGGCGCAGGTACGCCACAGACCAAACCGGCCTGCATGCCTGCCGGGCCATTCGGCGCAGACCGCAGGTTGCGACCTGCTGCAGGAAGTTGACAAGGAGCAGCAGGACTCAGGGTTTGGGTAAGAAAAGTGTCAGCTGCAGTTGCAGCAGGCGTTGTGGCGCGGCTGACGGTTGCCGTAATCTGCTGCCATGCACGCTCAACCAACAGGTGATGGCGTCTCAGAAGCAGATGGAGGCCAAGTACAAGCAGGCTCAGGCCACCGCAGTAAGTGCTTGGGAGAGAGGGGCAGGGTACGGTCTGGGGCAGCATGCATGGCCAAAAGCATGTGGCTGATGCCGTGCAATCGGGCTCACCTGAGCAGCTGCAAGGCAAAGAGCGCCGCAGAATCACGCGAGTGACATCTGCTGCAGATGTCACTCGCGTGACATCTGCTGCTTCTGACCATTATCGCCACATAGGATGACTGGCTGAAGCGGGCAGAGCTGGCGGTTGCTAAGGGCGAGGACGAGCTGGCTAGGGAGGCGCTCAAGAGGCGGAAGGCCTTCCAGGTGGGCGTCACCAGGTTGCTGCCTTGGTGCGTGCATACGCCGCATCTCTCCACCAGTAAATATTTTCTGGGGCTCCACCCCGGCTGCACCCCAGCTGAGTGATTGTCAAGAGAATCATCTCCACACACACAGGCAAAGCACATGCACACATAGACACAACACATGCGCACACACACTCACATCGAGACAACCACGAAGCACGCACACACATGCTTGCGAGTTCGTCCTCACCCACGCCTGTACATTCACGCGCGCACACAGGACAACGCTGAGGGCATGCGCATCCAGCTGGAGGCGCAGCAGAAGGCTACGGACCAGCTGATTGCCAACACCAAGGTCCTGGAGGGCAAGCTCGCCGAGGCCAAGAGCAAGAAGGACACGCTCAAGGCGCGCGCGGCCAGCGCCAAGACCAGCAAGCAGGTGCAGGAGATGATGGGGTCGCTCAACACCAGCAACGCCGTGGTGGCGTTTGACAAGATGGAGGAGAAGGTGAGGGGGCTTTTGTGGGGGGGGGGAGTAAGGGTGCAGCATGAGGTATGGGGTTGGGCAGGTGGAGGGCATGATGACCGGCAGGGCGCTCGCAGATAAGCAATGGGAGTGCACATGTGCGCTTACATGCCAGGTGCCTGTTAGACAAGGTGATGCTGCTGGCGGCTGCCGCTCATGCTGGCCCCTGCTTACGCCGAAGCACCGCGGCCGGACTCCGCCTGCCCCGCAGGTCATTGCCATGGAGGCGCAGAGCGAGGCGGTGGGCATGCTGGTGGCGGGCGACGGCCTGGAGTCCAAGTTTGCCGCGTTGGAGGGTGGCAACGTTGATGATGAGCTCGCAGCGCTCAAGCGGGGTGTGCTGGCGGGCAGCAAGCAGCCTGTGGCGGCGCTGCCGGAGGGCAAGCCCATCAGGGACGCGATCGACCTTGAGCTCGAGGAGCTGCGCAAGAAGGCCAAGGAGTGATGCGGCCGCCCTTATGTTTTGATGCGTGGAGCGGTGCGTGGGCGTGCACATTGGGGGAACTTTGCAGGGACCCCAGGGCTGAAACTCACTGTCACAGTGCTGGCGGGGAGGCTGCAGCCGGCTGCCGCCGCAGGTTGCAAGCGTTTTAGGAGCAGAGTTTGAGACCAACCAGAATTGTACACAACACGAGCGTCGATTTTCCGAGGGCTGGGACACCTCCTGCCATGTTGGCGGTGGCTCCCAGGCGTATCAGCTGCGCCCGGCGCCCACGTGCCGCGCTGTGTTAATCACTGCAGCAGAGGCAACATTCTTGATGTCTTGTCTCTCATCTTTTTGAGCTGTAAATATGTCATTACACATCTTCCTTGCTGCCACAGACTACCAGTGCGGGTGGTGGCTCGGTGGTGTCGAGGCGCCAGATCTCTAGACGCCAGATCATCACTGTAGGATACCAATCAGTTCTTCTTTTGTCGCAAAGGTTTCTATAGTCTGCCTTTTCCGTATCGTCTGTCACTTTAGCTTTCTCTATCGCCAAGGTATACTACGTAGAGATCGACGACGTGCGTAGACGGGTCGCGTCGCATTGCAATACCGGTAGGTAGTGGAAACCACCGCACATTGTGTGTTGTAGGTGTACGATCAATACATATTTCCATACATAATGGCTTGCCGTACTGATGTGCTGCGGGCATGCGTTGACGCCGCATCCGCTTCATGGCCTATCGCCTCGCCGCCAAGCGGCCCCAGCTGATGGAGGACTTTGACGAGCCCGAGCTGGCGCAGCTGGGGGCCACCTACGCGCCTCCCCTCGCCGCATGGCCGTCGCGCCGCGCAACCGTGCCGGCGCCGCCGGCGCCAGCGCCGTGGCAGCAGCGGCGGCAACAGCAGCCACCGCGGCGCCCCGTGCCTGATGTGATGGAGATTTTGGGGGGCCTCGGAGACGGCCTGACAGCATCAGACTGCGAAGATGAGGCGGTGCATCACGGGTCTGAGGCGGATGATGAGGAGGGCGCCGCCAGTGGCGAGCTTGGCGAGGGCGAAGACGACGAGGAAGCGGGGCGCAAAGGGTCGCAGCGCAGCGGCAGCGGCGCAGGCAGCGACAGAGAGGCGGGCTCTGGCGCCTGCAGCGGGAGCGAAGAGGAGGATGGCGGTGCCCTGGAGGACGTCGACCTAGATGAGATGGTGGAGGCTGACTTTGGTCTGGACAGGTGAGGCTTGGGGCTTGGGGCCCAGGATCTAAACAGACGGCTGTTGTGCCCGCTCCTCCGTGGCTGCATGCAGCCACCGCCTGCCACACCATAAATGTGCTTGCATGCTGCGGAGCGATGCATGCGTGCGCCTGTCTGCATGCTCCTGTGTCAGGGGCATGAGCTTGTTTGCATGGAGGGCCTGCGCATGCAGTGCATGCCAGCAGGCCCACGCCCTCCATGCGACCGCATGCACAGTGCGCAGAGCGCTGCAGCGGGCACTGGCGCGCTCACGCAGCCACGCAGTGTCGCCTACGCAGCCCGCACGTATGATCGCCCAAAAATAGTTTTCTCCGTGCCGCACTGCTCTGCCCCGTCATCGCCGCGCAGGTCCTCTGTCCTGGCGCGCATTGAGGGGTTCATCAGCGACGCCGTCGCCGCCGTCGCCCATGGGCAGCTGCCCGAGCTGCAGCTGGTGTCGACCGCGGCAGGGAACACCCACATGGTTGCAGACGGCGGCGGAGGTGGCGGCGACGGCGGCGGGGATGCAGGGTTTGATGAGGATCTGGGGCCTGCGGGATCAGACAGCAGGGGCGCAGCCGCGCCCGCGCAGCCGTCTGCCGTCGACTATATGAGGTTGGAGGACGAGGGGGATGAGGACGGCGGCGGGGGCAGCGGCGAAGAGGGGGCAGACGGGCGGCAGCAGCGGGAGCGGCGGCGGCGGCGGCGGCGGGCGCATGGCGCGTCGGGTCGGCTGCGGCTAGGGTCGCTGACGCAGGTCAAGAGCATCACGCATGGCCAGGGCCGTCAGGCCCACGGCGTCGCGCGAGGTAAGCCAGCAGCACATATCGCCCCAATGCAGCAGCGGCCTTGATGTCATGCTGGGGCCGTGTACACGCCTTTGCTGAGCTACGTCGATTCAAACAAAGCGCACTCGCCGAAACCCCCACCCGCTCCTTGCTTTGACGGTCCCCAGTGTTTCAAATCCTGGCGGTGGTCCACGAGCTGCTGCGGTCGGGGCGGCAGGCCACGCAGCGCGACATCTACTACAAGGTCGGTAGGAGGGTTGGGGCCCGGAGCGGGTGTGGAATGCAGGGTTCAAAGGAGGGGGCCAGCGAGGCCCACCAAATTGATGCAGCCACCGGGCTGTACGAGTGCAGTCCTACGTGGTAGTTGGTGTGGAACGACGCAACGGAGTATTCGAATTGCGCCCAACGCCCGGCCCTCTTCCTGGCGACAGCTGCACTCATTTCCCCGTGCCTCATCTTGTCCCCTTGCGCTCGCGTGCTCGCGTGTCCGACGTGCGCAGCTCCTGGGACCCCCGCTCTTTCCCAGCGCCACCGCGGTCTCCGGCGCGATCCAAGACGTGGTGGCGCTGCTGCGCGTGCCGCGCAGCGCCCTGGGCATTGCCTGCTCCCCACGCGGCGCGGTGGCGGGGCGGGTGGCGCTGCGGGACGGCCCGGGGGGCGCGTGGGTGGACTGCGGGGCGCTTGGGATGGCGGGGCACGCAATACCTGGGGAGCTGGCGGCAGTGGAGAGGCTGAGCTTCAGGTGGGGCCAGGCGGTGCTGTGAGCGTGCATACTTGGGGGGGTGTGCAGATAGATGCAGACGGGCACCTTCACACATGCACGCGCCCACGACTCAGGCGTGCCAAGACGCACGTCCATGTGCACTTGCGTTCCCCACAACATGCACAAGTGCGATCACTCGCACACACACACACACACACACACACACACACACACACACACACACACACACACACACACACACACACACACACACCACGCACACACACACAGGGTGAGTGCGCGCTACATCCTGGTGGTGGAGAAGGACTGCATATTCCAGCGCCTCACAGAGGACCGCCTGCACGAGCGGCTGCCGATCGTGCTGGTCACCGCCAAGGGGCAGCCAGACCTGGCAACGCGCGCATTCCTCAGCAGGCGCGAGGGTTTGTGGCGCATACAACAATGCGTGGGGGAGCAGCCAACTGAAAATGTTCGAGTTCAACGAATTTGTTAGGCATTTGGAGCGACGGCAAGACGTGTCTGCGAGCACAGCGTCGAGGGTGCTGCAGCGCGCCTGTGTTGTCACCTCAGACATCGGTCACCGCTGCCGCTGCCACCACCTGGATCGCTTCCTTGTCTACAACAATGCAGAATGGCAGCAGCGGCACCGTCGCTACCCATTCTGGGGCTGGTAGATTGGAACCCCTCCGGCGCCTGCATCCTGGCAACTTACAAGTTCGGCAACGCCCGTATGGGCCTGGAGGGGACCAGGTGTGACTGACACTAGCATTTCCATGCTGGTGCGCACTGAGCGTGCTGAGCGCGCATGGCAGTCTATCACGCGCCCTGCAGATCCCACCCACGGTCAAACGAGTTGATTTGAAATTTGACTGCGAACACACCCACGTGCAGGTACGCGGTGCCACGACTACAGTGGCTGGGCGTCCGGGGCGGCATGCTGGACGGCGTCCCGCGCTCGGCCTTCCACGCGCTGACTGGGCGCGACACGGCGCTGCTGGGGGGGCTGCGGCGGCGGCTGGCGGGGCACACAGGCTGGCTGGCTGAGCTGGATGACATGGAGGAACGGGTGAGTCCCAAGCGGGGTTGGACGGGCGCACAGGGAGAATGCTGAGCAAGAGGTTTCGAGGGGCGGGGTTAAGTGGCAAGGGTGCCGTCATAAGGGTGTGGGCGGGATAAAGCTGGTGGCGCAAAGTCAGGCATTCGATCAGGAGAGACTCAAACAATGAGGGGCAAGGGGGAGCACGTGGCGAGGCCGCATGTCTTAGAGGCAGGCGCTTGCTGGTGTTGTTGAGGCCTTGGCTGCCGCACCATGTGCGTGCCGTACGGTAGCTGTCCAGAAGCGTTGCCTAGCTATCATGTGCGCACATCCCGTTCACCTCTCTTTGCGTAATCTTGCGAAGATGTCACAGCCTTATAGCAGCACCCGCGCCACGCAACCCTTGGAACCGTCCCAACCCCAGGGGCTCAAATGTGACATCGAGGCGCTGTACACCGTGGGCGGCTTTGAGGGCCTGCACCGCCAGCTGGTGCGCCGCATCCTGCAGCAGCAGTATGTGTGAGCTGCATCACCAGCCTCCGGCAGCACTGCATCACTCAAGACCAGCAGACGGGCCGTGTGCATGTTACATTCCTGCATCGTCAGTCCAGACGTCGGACTGTTTGGGGTGTGACTACCCGAACCAGCCTCGCCAAACTGCTGCAACACTTCAATTTCAGCTTGTCTTGTCCGACCCCCCCAGACAGCACTTGCAATGTGATTGCAGTCCTCGTCTGAATCCTGGCAGGCTGTTGACGCGAGCGCCAGCACTAAGCAACACAAGCTCTGCAGCGGCTCCCGCGTGCTGCCCTGCTCCAGCTGCCTCTGCTACTGCCGCCACCTGAGCTTCTGCTAATGCCTCATGCATGGATGCTCGCCGTGACCTACAGCTCTCCCGCTTGTCAGACCTCGCGCTCGCTCCCCCCTTGTTATTGCTGCTGCTGCTGCTGCTGCTGCTGCTGCTGACGTGGCCCACAATGCTGCTCGTGCTGCCACCAACCTCCAGCCGCTGCTCAGCGCCGGCCTCTGCCGCCGCCGTGGCTCCCCCAGCCATGCCCCCTGTCGGCAGAGCCTGGTCTGCCAGGCCCAGAACCACAACCACCAGCTTTGCAAGCGGCGCCCGCGCCAGGTTGCTGTCAAGCGTTGTGAAGCCCCGCTCATAGAGCACGAGTGACTGAGCGCTCTCAAACCACCTGGCTCGCTTTGCGCCTTTGGGTGCCTCTGACAGCTGCACTACTACACATCACTATGGGAAGATTTGCAAGGTCAATCACACCCACTTGGGCTGCAGGGTAAAGCTTACACGGCACGGCCTAGCCGGGGCTGGCTCACAACACTTGACACCGGCAGTCAACGGACGACGGAGGGACACCGGGAAATACTCCGGACCAGAGGGACTGGTGAGGCGCCGCCTCTACATACACACGCCACCTTGAAGCGAGCAGCGAGGATGGGCACAGCAAACTGCTTGGGAGGAGCATCCCATCCCTCGAGTGTGCGCAAGACCCTTGCGGCTGCACAGCACGCAGTTGGTTTTGCAGGTGCAACCTGTACAGCAGCAGCGTATGAGTCTGTCTGCTGCGCCTGCGGCGCACAGGACGCTAGTAGGTAATGTGCGGAGGTGCCAGGGGATACTGCGGGCGTGCGGCTGACATGGAAGTAGCAGCGCGAGGCTGCAGCAAAAAGAGTAGCAGTTGACGGGCGTGCGCTGCCACCACGAATGACACCGCTCGCGCGCTTTGCCGAGCGGTGCAGGTTGGATTGAAAAGTGCCAAGGAGCGGCTGGCCAGCGGCCGTGCCAGCTGTTGCACGCAGTCGGCGCTCGTGCATACAGCTGTCAACAACCTTAGCCTGTTTGAAGGGCGTTGGCATGGTGGGCTGCAGGCAAGGCGCCGACCCGGCCAGCCCTGAGTGTTGGGTTGCAGGTTGCAGACCCCCGGATTGGATTCCCCCAAGGGCAAAGAGTGGCAACAAAAACATCAAAAGCAGCGTGCTGTGGTCAACGCTGGTGCTCGTGCGTGCCTGGCGCAAGTGGGAGTATCGAAATTTGAGTGCTGAGTGTCCATCACACCTCCTTGCAGGCACGCGGGCTTGGAACCGCCGCCAGCGGTATCGTGCAAAATGTTGGTTTAAACCCAAAAGAGTAGACAGGCGGAAGGGGCGGCTTTGCGCTGCCCCTTCCCTTGTGGCTGCATATGGGTACGGGTGTTGCGTTCAGCGGCGGCAAGTGGGTGTGGGGTTCGAGTTCCGAGGCACCAAAATTGGGCGTTCTGCAAACTATCAAGACGAACAAGCGCTGAGCTATGCACACGTGCGATGACTTGCCCCGAGGCTTCCTTCTTGGGTGCTAGGGTCGGGCAACTCCACAGCTGTGGAAAGGGCAGCGACATGGTGCAAGTGGCTCCTATCCGTTGCAAAGTCAACACCTCGCACCCTGCTAGTTTCACCAGACAATGCAGCAGCATTCAGCAGGGGCGGCGAAACGCAGGCCTGAGCGGGGCGGGGCGCAGCTGCTTTGCAACGCAGGCGGCCGTAGGGTCCATCAGGGCCCGGGGCACCCCACCCAAGCCGCGGGGTGCGGGCAGAAGCGCCTTCGGCGCGTCGTGGCGGCCGATGTGCGTCTGAGCCAGCCGCGGCGCAAGCCGGGCCGTGCATGCTATCACCCTGCAAACTATGTGTGCGCCGTATGATTGGATCGGCATGCGCTTTGCGATTGGCAGCAAAGGTTTTTTGATGGTTCAATAGGCCCATCAATAGGCCCAACACCCGGCACGAGCCCAAGTGCAAACTTGTCATCCACGCGACCATGACAGTATCGTGCGGCAGTGGCGGCGCGCCAGAGAGTGGCTGCGAGCCCAGCACGCGTGCAAGGTGGGCGCTGACGCCCCACCATGTGCGCCGCGTGGGATGCGCGCCGTGGGTTCTGTCTTCTTCACAAGCAGGGTGCCATTTGCTTCATCGCCATAACCAAACTCTTGACGCAAGGTTATCTGCAAGAACCCGCAACAACCCCATATGCTCGGCCGGGGGACAACGCGGCCGGCATGCTGACAGCAAATGGGGCCCCGGTGCACAGTGGGGCCCCGTCGGCCGCGCTGGGCGGACGCACCGGCGTCCGCCAAGCAGCGGAGACCGCGCGCGGCCCGGCCCTCAGACCTGCTGGTCGCACGCGTCCGCGTCCTTTGCGGCCCCGTTGGCCGCCGCCGCCGCGGCCTGCGTCTCCTTGTGCTGCTCGTACGCGTTGCCCCCGTGGACGCTGGGCACGCCCACCACAGAGTGGTCCTTGGTGGACACCTCCAGGTCAACGCCGGTCCAGATCAGCCCGTCGTCAAACAGGTGCGCGCCGTCGATCAGCTGGCTCATCGGGTTGGCACGCGCGGCCGCCCAGCCGGCGAGGCCGCCGCCCGTCGCGCCGATCGCGACCGTCGCCGCGATCGCCGCGAGCTGCCAGCCGAGCTGCGCGGCGCCGTGCGGCGCGGCGGCGGCGTTGGCGGCGCCGAAGGATGCGAAACCGGCGACGAGGCCGCCGAGGATACCGGGAAGACCGTGGAGGTTGTGCACGCCGCAGGTGTCCCCGAGGCCCATCCTGCGCTCGAGCAGCGGCGTCAGGCGCGCAAAGCCGGCGGTGGACATCGCGCCGGCAAAGGCGCCGACGGCCAGTGCGCCGGCGGGGTGGAGGTTGAGGGCGGCTGCGGAGCCGACGGCGACGCCGCCGGCGAGGGTGGCGTTCTGGGGTGGCGTGCGCGGGGCGGCGTGCACGAGGGAGTGTCGTGTCAGCGTGGGTGTGGTGGTGGCGGCTTTGGGGGTTGCGCGGCGGCTGGGGCGCGGCGTCGGTTTTGGGGGAGGGGTAGCCGCAGGGCGTTCGCTGTGCGCCTTGGTGGGGCATTTGGCGTGCCAGTGATGCCTTGTCATGACTTGCATCCCGCCAAGGGCAAGGATCAGGTGCCCGCCCAATCAGCATCCGGCTGGCAGCCATCCGGGCGCCACCGAGCAGGGGGAAGGGAGGAGGTCCGACCGTTCCACTGTATATAAAATCTGAGCAAGAGCCCAAGCGAGGGGCCCAGGGGTGCCTTGCGGCCGTCCCTGGTGCCGAGGGGCCCCACCTGGACGTGCATGATGTCAAAGCGGTTCTCGATGAGCGCGCTGACGATGAAGGTGGACACGCAGGAGCCCAGCAGGGACAGCAGCGTGTTGACAACGCAGCTGC